GAGAGAGAGAGAGAGAGAGAGAGAGAGAGAGAGAGAGAGAGAGAGAGAGAGTATTTCTTTATGTGTTGTTTGTCTGTTTCAGGGATACGAAAAGAAGTAAGAAGACGACGGCAGAGGAGATGTTGTGGAAGGGCTAGCCGTGGGAGCTGAGGACTACGTGCGTTCGCCCAGCCTTCCAGAGAGCCAGAGTTCTTCTCCCACTTTTGTTGGTGTTGTTTGCGTCTTCTTTGGGTTGTTGTAACAGTTTTACGGCACTTGCAACACAAACGGGGCACATTATTTAAATAATAAGTGACAATTTCCATCTTGTTTTTAATTTTAGTGATAGTTTTATTACTGCGGCATTTGCATTTCACAACTAGCCATTTAGGTGCAAATTTGCATTGTCTGTTTCTGTCAAATAAATACATGCCGTTGACAGGCTGTTCACTTCAATGTGCTAAACTCAGAAATATACAATTTTCAGGAGATAACACCCCCACCCCCCATCTCCCTAAAAAACCCAAAAAACTCAAACATTTCATTTCTTTAACAATTTTACCTAGATCTAAATTAAGCTTTTTTTCAACATTCAGAATTTGACTTTTGGAGAAATATTTCTTGAGCTCATGCAAACAATGCTACAGATGATAAAACTGCAATTTAAAAGAAAGAGAAAAAACAAATTGAGCTCAGTACCGACACCTGTCTGAACTGCAGATTGACCATGCATCTTTTTTCATAGATTTGTCCCATCGATACTAAAATATCTATTGCTGCATACACCTAGTCAAAGAAAGACAAGTCTGAATTTGGACTAGAAATTCCCCTGAAACGGTGGAACAACCGACCGGCCGCCAGTTTGTACTTGTACCATGATGAAACTAAAAGAAGTTGATGCGTGAAAGGGGGTGGGGGTGGGGGTGGGGGTGGTGCCAACCCTATAAGAATATAAGTATAACTTAGCATATAAATAAGTGTACTATTGATTCTGCTGGGGTTAGGCGGCCTTACCACAACATCCCACTTTAAACGGGTGTCCGACAAAACAGGTCAAAGTCAAGCACTTTTTGGGGTCTTAAATTGTGTTATCATAATATTATATCACCGTAATTTCAAGTGTAAGAGTATGGGTTTAACATCCCTTTCAACACTATAAGGTTACGGTAATTACAACTTGTAATACTATATTATTTTAAAAAAGTAAAATGAACATTTTTCACAAAATTCGAGCATTTCTGGAAGATAATAAATAAGACAGAAATTACCTTTTGCTTCTATAAAAGCGTTTGACCTAGTTTGGCGGATACACAGTTAATCGTAGGCCTAAAGAATGTATAATCTATTTATGTCTTAAGTATTTCGCAATGTTCCAAAGATACTTTTTAATATATCAACTTTCCACCACCAAACAAAAGCAAACGGGAGAACTCTGGGAACTCTGATCTACAAGTGTTGTGAATTTCCTCAGCAGACTGGAGCTCTCTTGCGTTGTGTGATCGTCGTGTTGTCTTGTTCAACTAACACAGGACTTGAATTATAATACAATGTGTACTTACTAGACCGGGCACTGTCATGGCAACCACTTTCCGCTTTCTAATACATATATATAGAACTTCGCTGGACGCACAAAAGAAGGGCAAAAAACAAGTCTCGCTTCAGTTGAGTGCGTGGGCGACTTTTCCCTACTAGATTTGCTCTTCATTTGGTTCCAAATACAGTGCAGCCTCTCTCTATAACGACATCGTCGGGACCAGAAGAAAAAAAATCATTATAGAGAGTTGTGGTTATAGTTATAGAGAGGCAGTGAAAAATATTACTAACGCTACAGGGAATAAATCGGGACCTGGGCACCATGTCGATATACAGAGGATGTCGTTATATCGAAGGTCGTTATAAGAGAGGCTGCACTGCAGTTGAAATAGTCCAATGGTGCGCTCCTGGCTCGAAATATGAGTCAATCTGTCCCCGCAGTTTTATGCAATTTTTTTTTTCTGAAATTAGGCAAACTGAGCCCAAAACTGTGAAATTATGCGATTCTGTTACATTTAACAAAGAATGATAAGGGAAAATAATCAGAAATTATGTAAAACAACAACAAAAAATATAATTTTGACAAATTATGCGGGGCGCATTAAACCACGGGGACAGGTCAATGACTCAAATGGTGCGCACCACGATGAACCAGAATGACGCCAGGGGTGCCCTGTCTTGGGTATTATAACCAAAGATCGTACATAACAAGATAGTTCACTCCTCTCTTTGAGTTTGAGCCAATTAAAAAAAGTGTCCTCAAAATTCGGACTTTGCAATCAGTCCGATCAGAGTTACCCTACTTGTGTGAAAAACAATAAAAGTGGAACTAACAAACTGTACTATTCCTATTCTTCTTCTGGAGAAATGAAAGAGAAGCTTCAAATCAAAGACTACAGCGCCATCTGAAGCAATGCGCGGACTTCTGCGGACACTTTTTTTTGGCGGGGTGAACTGTCCATCTTGTTATGTACGATCTTTGGTATTATAATACACGTCTTAGTGATCAACTCTCTTACTACCGTAGGCCCTACTAACTGCTTCTGCATGCAGTGGCGACATGCTGGCTCAGTGGGAAGATGTGCTGGCTGTGAAAGTATATTCATTATCGTTGTTGTTGTTGTTCCGCTTTTTTGTGATAGAAACCATTCCCACCATGAGGAGAGTGGCGATCCAGACGGTTTGTGTTCATCAAGATTTGTTGAGCGTACCGGTACAGTATTTGTCAGGGTCGTCCCGTGGTTTCCTTGTGTTTGCGAGTCAAGCTAGTGTAATATTGTCAGTTGGTTGGAGCAGGAACAAAACATACATTCTATGATGATGATGATATGAACGTGAGAAATAAAACAAACATTTAGACTGTTGTGATGGTTTTTGCGTTTCAAATTAACTTTTTGGAGGGTCTTCTTTTTTCCTTGTTTCTTGTGTTCATTGCCAGTACTGTGTATACACGACAGTCGCCAAGCTGTTCAACTGTTCTAAGCTCAAATAGCAAAGTTTTTCAGGAGACAGAAAAAACGATTTAAACAAAACGTGTCATTCAATCCAGAACTGTACCTAGTTTTTATATATCTTTTCTTTCTCTTTTTATTATTTAGAATTCACATTTCGTGTCCGTAAGAGTTTTTTGGCACTTGCAACACAATAAGGTCACATAAGTTCCGAAGAATAAATGTGTTACAAGGGAGTAACAAAGACAAAAAGAAGGTAGGCAGATAAGGACGATAGATGCTTGATAGGAAAGAAAGAGCAAACCACACCAGAGCACTCGTCAACCACCCACAATTCACATTTCGATTAGATATTTCTCAAGTACATATATACCGTAAGCAACATATACCCCAGAATAAGAAAAGCAACTTTTTTTATAATTCAAAATTTCGTACTTAGTACTTTTGAACATCTGGACAAGGGTACACAGAACGGGAGTCCACAGAAAAAAAACGACCATAGTCACAAACTGAAAATCCTGAGGGTATCAATTTTGAACACTTGTTGACTCATAACTGTATTTCAGTTCAGCTGTTGGTTGATTGTTGTTGTTAGATTTACCGTCCAACAAACGTATAAAAAAAATAAACCACCCATCAAACAAATATGAAGTTATAAGTCCACAAGCTTTTAAAATTGACACCCTCACAATTTCCAGTTTGTGACCATGCCCGTTTTTTCAGTGGACTCCTCAAATGGGAGTGGACCCTGACTCTCCCACCTGACACCTCGGACTGCAAAAAAACAACTGTGACCATATATAGTACCAACTTAAACAAAAAAACAGAAACAAAACCAACTCAAAACACAACTTAAACTCATCAACATCCCCCCCCCCTCCCTTATTCCACTCTCACACAAACACATACATCTTTTCTTTTTAATTCTAGTCCAAATAAATAGTAACAATATTGGAATCCTGATCAATCTACTTTTGGGTAGTGCTTCACTTACGCGACTTGCAAGGATATTTTTTTTTATGGTAAGTTTTACGGCGCTCGCAACTGCATAAGGTCGTATGAGCGCACGGGACACATCAAACATTGTCAGTAGGTAGGAAAATTTTTAATTTTGGCCGGGTGGCGGCCGAAGCCTACTCTTATCAATTTTAGATCACCAAGGGATCTTTAACGTGCGCAACTTGCACACGAGACCTCCGAGGTTTTTCGCCCTTGTCCGAGAAGGTAAGGTGTAGATCTTTCCTACCAGAAGATCAGGGGTGTGGCTGAAAGACAGCAGTAAGAACGAGCTAAGGAGTAGCAGTAGAAAGGCTGCAGAAAGAGTCAGGAGCCCAGAGGAAGGGGCAAAGGAGGTGAGGGGGTGGGGGCAGAAAGTGAAGACGAAAGCAGACGAAAGAACATTGCTAGAGAGCAGGAAAGGAGGTGAAAGGAGCAAATTTTAGAGAAGAAAATTTTTCAGTCACTACCTGGATTCGAACCCAGGACCTTTGACTGAGAGGCGAACACCTTAACCTCTAGGCCACGAGGGGGCCCTTGCAAGAATGGCAAAACTAACATTTGCACATAATGAAAACAAGAGGGATGTTGAATCTGAAACATTCTTTTTTAATTTTTTTTTTGACAATACATACAGTAATAGTAAAAACAGTAAAAGTAAAAACTATAAAGTTTCATGCAGTTAAAAATTTCTTTGCCCAGTACTAATACTGCAAATGAAAAGAACCCATAGTGTGCACATTTATACTCAATGTTACACCAGTTCAACTCATTTCTGGGCAACGGGAGTCTCTACAAAGTTGATGTGGCATATGTATGAGAACAATTCCACAAGGGTATGACAATGAGACAATATTCCCTCCAAGTATTTGACACCCCTCAAACACCCATAACAACAAAACTAAACTAGATCTAAAACAAGCAAACAAAAAAACCCACACAAAAATACAACAAAAAACCCCCCAAAAACTAGCATGCCTCAAAATTTTAAAAAGGACAGGAGTAAAGAAAGTACAGGAATACTCAATTTTCAATGCAAGTATTCCATTTCAAGACTACATTTCTTAGTTTAGCTTTAGTAGAGGTTTTACGGCGCTCGCAACTGCATAAGGTCATATGAGCGCCAGAAGATTAGAGGTGTTACAAGAGAGTAACAAACAAAAAAGAAGAAGAGGAGATAAGGACAACAGATGTTTGATAGGAAAGAAGAAGAAAACAACACTAGAGCACCTGCCAACCACCCACCAAGACTACATCGGAGAGTCTACATAGCTATAAGCCCCTCTGAGATAGCGCCCAACATAATTTCCCGAAAGAAAACAAAATTTTCAATGAAGAAAAAAATGGAAACACGAAAATCTCATACCCACAAAACAGACACTTAGCGAAATACAAAAGTTTTCACAAACTCATTAATGGTACACAAATCAATAAACATTGCAATTCGCCCCCCTCCCCCCCCCCTCCACAAAAAACCCAACACCAAACAAACAAAACTTGTCAGTTCACAAGAATGTGAGAAGAATATCAGTACTTTTACTTTCACAGTCATACATAAACTAGTACTTACTACACTAGAGCCAATGTACAGAGCTACACCAATGGTTGAGTTATAAACAGGGCTGCAGAGCTGCTCTCTGCATTTGCCTTCACACACACACACACATACCGGAAACAACAAAAGCGACAACATCAAATATCATTGAACTACAAGACTAAAGGGACAGAGCCCAACCCCTAAAGTACAACAACTTCCTTTTTTTTTCTTTCTGGTAAGGTTTTACAGTGCTCGCAACTGCGTGAGGTCTTTTCTTCCCTCCTTCTCCTTCCATCATCATTGTCATTCCACCTTCCCCCCCTCCCCCTTCTGCCTGCCTTTCAAAACATGTAAGACAAAACAAAAAATGTCATCCTTGCAACAGGTTTGTTGGAACTTATCACTAGTCTAGCTACCAGTAACAAAATAGAAATGGGGTCTCATCTCCCCAAAACCATTCCCCTCCAAATTTGACAAGCAAAAAAAAAAAAAGACCAACAAAAAACCCTTTATCCCTGACAGCTAGATGGTGGAAGAATGTCTGTAACAAGATAGCTGCAACAAACAAGTTTGAGATCGGTTCTCTCTCCCCCCCCCCCCCTCCCTTCCCCCCTATCCCACCCCATCCCTACCGCAGCACCATCATGTGACAACAGAGTTCACAGAACCAGATGCAGAACAATATGACAGTGGTCGTCTCCCCCCCCCCTCCTCCTCCCTACCCCATCCCTACCGAAGCACCATCATGTGACAATAGAGTTCACAGAGCCAGATGCAGAACGATAGGACAGTGGTCGTCTCCCCCCCTCTCCTCCCCACCCCATCCCTACCGAAGCACCATCATTTGACAATGGAGTTCACAGAGCCAGATGCAGAACGATAGGACAGTGGTCGCTGCCCAAGACTTTGCTGCGGATGACGCTGTCACACATCTGCTCCTTGAACCTCTCCGACAGCACAAAGTAGTCCAGGCGCCTGGTGGGAAGAGATGGGAACAAATAGATGTTCGTGTAAATTGTCAGTACCCGAACGTGAAAGATGGGGGAGGGGGGGTTAGACCAGGACAATATAAAATAATAATAATAATAGATAGCATTTGTATAGCGCATATCCCCGCTCAACAGCAAGCTCTATGCGCTTTACACTATATTATTACCCCAGCAGACCATAGAACACTCCGAAACATTCTCAGCTTCCTGGGAAGCATACAGTGCAAGCAGCTGATTAAGCGCTCAAACACTAACAAACTGACAAGATCTTTCGCTGTCTATAGCCGGGTACCCATTCCCACCTGGGTGAAGTGAGGAAAATTCGTGTAAAGTGCCTTTCCCAAGGACACGACGCAACCTGGTAGAATCAGGAGCTCGTCAATTTTTGGGCATGTGGAGTTATTGGCATCATCTAAAAGCTTTTTTTAACTGTCTTGCATTCAATGAAAAATACCCATCTATCTTGAATAGAAGTCGAGATATTTGTGATTGAAGGAGGTGGGGGTCGCGTGGTTCAGTGGTAGAATTTGCGAGAAAATGGCCGCCAAAGTTTGGCGACTTTAATTGCTTGAGAGTCTTTGAAAACTGAAAAATTACACATTTTATGCTTGTAATCAATGTTTTTCAATAAAATTACACATGGAAATCTGTTTTTTAAATGGACATAAAAAGGTGTTGGGCCATAAAAGAAAAATTTGATAAAAATAGCCAAACTGGCAGAAAAAGGCCTGTTTCTTCAATTTCATTAGATTGGCGAGCACCTGACTTCACCACGAGGCCTCACATATGTGTGAGGAACAGTGGTGACATCAGGTTCTCATAAAAAGAGTGAGATCAAAGAAACCACCCTATTTCCCCCCTTTTGGAAATTTTTATTGAATTTTGGGGGGCTCAACACCTATTATGTCCAGTTACAAACACACTTCTGTATAAATTTTACCAAAAAACATTGATCAAAGGAACAAAAAATGTAAATTTGCAGTTTCCAAAGACACCAAAGCTTTGGAGGTCATCAAACTTTGGCGGCTGTTTTCTCACTTATTCTACCTCTGATCCTCCCCTCCTTCAGTCACAAATATCTCTATTTCTATTCAAAACAGATGGACATTTTTCCACCGAAAGTAAAACAAATGAACAAGCTTTAAGGTTCAACCAATAACTCCATACGCCCAAAAACAAGCGACCTCCTGATTCCACCGCATCGTAACACAGCTATAGGTTTTCTGACAGCATCCACAAAGCATAGAAATGAGTGGAGAACCATGGTTACTTCAAGTTCTAGTTAGAGTTTTACAGCGCTAGCAAAACAAATCAGTCAAGATGTAAGTGCCCGAGATTAGAGGTATTACTAGAAAGTAACATATAAAGAGAGGATCCGTATACATGTTCACATGAATGCAGGGTAGAGTATGTGTGTGACAACTATGACAACATGTAAAGGGGAGTTCAAGCTTACATCCTTGTGCTTCATACCTAGAAATTAAAAGACTGTGCATGAGAAGGAAGAGGAAGAGAGAGAGGGACAGAGAGAGAGGGACAGAGAGAGAGAGGGACAGAGAGAGAGGGACAGAGAGAGAGAGAGAGAGAGAGACACAGACAGAGACAAAGAGAGAGAGAGAGAAAGAGAGAGAGAGAGGGGAGAAGAAGAAGAAGAAGAGATGTTTCAAATTTATCAACATATTCCACTGATGAATATAAGAATGAAGCAGCTATTTAGAAGCAATCTTTTCCTTTTACTCAATTACCCCTTTTTTAAAAATTACTTTACTATCAAAGTAGTCTGCGTCTTTTAGTGCACACTGTGAAAAAGTACACTCTTGAAGAATCCATGCTTTTGTCCACTGGTGGGTTCAGCATTGTCAAGAACATTTTTAACCTATTATTTATATTACTTTGGAGAGAGCTCAGAAAAGTCATTAGATGAGAAATGCATTTTCAAACAGTAAAATGACATTCCCAAAACTTGCTTCTTGTGCATTCGTTCTGAATTTTCACATTGCGTCCTTCTGAACGTAAATTTAACTGAGCATGGGCTAAAAGTAGTAAAAAAAAGCGACTTTTCTTTTAAGTTTAAGTTCTAAAAGAAAACAAAATCGATTTCTCCTTCCTCGACACACAAAAAATTGGGGACTCAAACAAAGGTGGGACATAGCTGGCCAGAGGTAGAGACTATAACCCATGACAGAAGAATGTGGTGAGCTCTCTTCAGTGGCCTATACACTTTGACACAGGGTGATGGTAAGTGTTTTACGGCGCTCACAACTGCATAAGGTCATAGGAGTGCGCAGGACACACCAAACATTTTCAGTTAGTAGGAAATTTTGAATTTTGCCTGAGTGGCGGCCGAAGCCTACTCTTATTGATTTTGGACCACCAAGGGATCTTTAAAGTGTGCAACTTGCACACAGAACCTCTGAGCTTTTTCGCCCTTGTCTGAGAAAGCTAGGTGTAGATCTTTCCCATCAGAAGATTAGGGGTGTGGCTGAAAGACAGCAGTAAGATGGAGCCATGGAGTAGCAAATGGAGACGAAAGCGGACAACAGACCATCGTTGGAGAGCAGGAAAGGAGGTGAAAGGGTGAAGGGAGACAATTTTAGAGAAGAAAATTTTTTAGTCGCTACCCGGATTTGAACCTGGAACCTTTGAATGAGAGGCGAACACCTAAACCTCTAGGCCATGAGAGCCCCCCCCCATATACACTTTGGCACAGGATGAGAAAGGATGATGATGATAATAGATAATAAATGATAATCGATATAAAAAAACAACAACATACCAGCCAACATTTTTCGCTCGCGCGTTCATGAAGTATGTCCAGAAAGTATAAGCCCCCTCCTCCTCAGGGTACAAGTGTCGGAAGGAGTCAATGAAGCCCTCATTCAACATCTCCGTGAACCCATCTCTCTCTTCCTGAGTGAAGCCAGCGTTTTTCTTATTCCCCTTGGCATTCTTGATATCTGTAGATGAGAAAATAAAGACATGCCAGAAAACAGATATATATAAATTCCAGCGAAAAATAAAGAGATGAATAAAAGACTCTGAGTAGAGAAATGAAAGATGAATTAAAACAAGATATATCATCTACTTTTTTTTCCTATATGCCCCTATCAAAGTGAGATCAGAAAAGTAGCTAAAAGTATTCAGACCCTGTTATGATAACATTAATCCACAAAAACAAATGAATATGGGATCAAAATGCCGCCATTTGAATAGAAAACACTCCTTACTCAAAGTTTATTGAAGTAATTGAACAACGATACAAAAGAGCTGTTATGCATGAGTCAGGTATGATAATACTGATGATGAAGACGATCATAAGTGGTAAAAAAATAATAAAAGTGATAAGACTCCTTTGATATAATTCACTTGTTATTATTTAAGTGGACTTTTCCCACTTGCTGGTGATGAATCTAAGTATCCGATAAAAATATCAAGATTCGCCACATGGGAATCAAAAGCATGTTCTTTGCATACAAGATGAAAAGCCTGACGATTATACTGACGATTAATCTTACCAGATTATACTTCTGGTAAGTGTTTCACGGCGCTCGCAACAGCCGTGCGGGACACATTAAACATTTTCAGAAGGTAGGAAAGCTGAGATGAAAGCAGACGTCAGAACAATGCTAGAGAGCAGGAAAGGAGGTGAAAGGAGATAATTTTAGTGAAGAAAATTTTTCCTTCGCTATCCGGATTCGAACCCATGTCCTTTGAATGAGAGACGGACACCTTAACCTCTAGGCCACAAGAGCCTCCCGGAGAAAGATTGAGGTGATATAAAGAAATAAGAAAAGGCACGTACCAATCTCTTGGTGGGAAACGTTGAGATCTCCACACCACACCACCGGCTTTTTGGCGTCCAGAGATTTGATATAGTTCCGGAAGTCTTTGTCCCATTCCTCCGAGCGATACTTGAGTCGGACCAGCCCACGGCCCGAGTTGGGGATGTCTGTTGTGTATAGGACAAATATTGATAATGATAGAAGAAGAAGAAGAAGAAGAAGAAGAAGAGGAAGAGGAGGAAGAGGAGGAAAAAGAGGAGGAGGAGGAGGAGGAGGAGGAGGAGGAGGAGGAGGAGGAGGAGGACGAGGAGAAGAAGAAGAAGAAGAAGAAAAAGAAAAAGAAGAAGAAGAAGAAGAAGAAGAAGAAGAAGAAAAAGAAGAAGAAGAAGAAAAAGAAGAAGAAGAAGAAGAAGATTATAATAATTTTTTAAAAATAAATTATTTTAAATAATAATAATAATGATGATTAAATAATAACAATGATAAAATAAAAAATAATAAAAACATTCATTATATGTTTCATAAATATAATTAATTTTTTTTTAACCACAATTGACTGTAGCTGTGTAGCTCTCAGGATGGAAGTTCCATATGCCAGCAAGAACACAAACTCCAAAGAAATTAACCAACTGTCAAAACAGTCCCACAGTTTACTACTCACATGTATTCACCAAGAAAAATTTCTCAAACTCAGCTGTGATCACTCTGCCTTCTTTGTCATGTTTGGAGATTCCTGAAATTTTTGGAAAAACATTTTCTTGTCAAACACATTCTTTAAAAAAATATCTTGAGATAATACCTCACAGACGTCCAAAGCAATGGGATGGCGTTCATATGACCTTATGCAGTTGCGAGTGCCATAAAACATTATTAAACTAAAAAAAAAAGGAATGGGATGGTACGGCACACAAAATACGCTCCAACAAAACACCAGAAAAGAAAAAATTAGGTCTTCAGGGGGGAGGAAAGGAAGGTGGAGAGAACTTAAAAACCAAAATTTCCAGGATAGAGAAAGGGTACACTTTACACGACCCAAAAGCTACCAAACCATCCATGACCAACATATTGCAAATAAGTACATCCCAACCTCCCGGCAGTCCTCTTTCCTTAAATAATACCAAAGAAGCAGACAAATTTTCTGAGTACACTCATCAGTGCCATCATTTATGCTGATGGGGTTTTTCTCGAATACATTCCAACCCTTTGAGCAGCACCCTTTTCTTAAAAATACTCTTCAATGCCAATGGACTTGGTAATACTGATGGCTTTTTTCCTTTCTTGAAGAACATCCCAAATTTCCACCTCCAGCCATATCTTAAAAAACAATACAAAAGAAGTAGAAACATTTTCAGAGTTCACCCACCAATACTGTTAGTAATGTTGATGTTTATTTTTCTTGAAGTATATCCCAAATTCCCCCCCTCCTCCACACAGCCATATCTTAAAAAACAATACAATTGTGAGGCAGCGAGGTGGAATCAGGCTCTCGTCAATTTTTGGGCATGTAGAGTTATTGGTATCATCTTAAAGCTTGTTCACTTGTCTTTATTTAGATGAAAAAAATATCCATTTATCTGGAATACAAGTCGACATATTTGCGAAAGAAGGAGGTGGGGGTCACCAGTTTTCAGAGGTGAAATAAGTGAGAAAATGGCCGCCAAAGATTTGTTATTTCCTTAGCTTAAGAGTCCGTGGTAACTGAAAATTTACATTTTTTGTCTTTAATCAACGTTTTTCAGAAAAATCCACACAGAAATTAGTTCTTTAATGGGCATGAAAGGTGTTGAGCCAAAAAACAAAAATTTGATAAAAATTCACAAACCTGTGGACAAATGCAAGTTTCGTCACTTTAATTATTTGACGAGAGCCTGATTCCTCCACGCTGCCTCACAATTGTATTAACAATTTCTGAGTTCACTAACCAATACCATGAATAGTGTTGATGGTTTTTTGTTGTTTTTTCTTGAAGCACATCCCAAACAACCCCCCCCCCCCCCCCCATTCAGCCATATATTTTTTTTAAATACAAAAGAAAAAGTAACATTTTTCATCGGCATTCACTCACAAATACCATCGGTAATGTTGATAAGTTTTGTTGTTGAAGCACTTCTCAACCCCCCCCCCCCCCCCCACAGCCATATAATACAAAAGAAGAAGTAACATTTTCATTCTTTTTTTTTTTTTCGTAAGAGTTTTACAGCACTTGCAACACAATAAAGTCATATAAGTGTTGAAGATTAGAGGTGTTACAAGGAAGTAACAAACACAAAAAAAGAAGGAGGGGCAATAGAGACGCAAAATATTTGATAGGAAAGAATGAGCAAACCACACCAGAGCACCCGCCAACCACCCATGAAACATTTTTCTCCGGTGTTCACTCACCGATACCGTCGGTGATTTTGATGGGTTTCTTCTTGAAATACATCCCGACCCCCGAGTATCCCTCGGTGTCGCCGGACAGCCAGTGCGTGGAGTAACCGTCCACCTCGGCCGCCGCAGGGATCTTCGAGACGTCGCACTTGAGCTCCTGCACGCACAGCACGTCAGGCTGTTCCGCGTTCAGATAGGACAGGCCCTCTTTCTGACCATACGACCGTGAGAGAAAAAAAAAAAAATCGAGCGATAAATGGCGTTACTCTTTTTGACATTAAAATAAGATTTATCTTTCTTTTAGACGCTGTTCTTAAGATCCTGCATCTACAGTAAATCAGGCTGGCTGTCTTAATATAGGACAGGCCGAATAAATACATTAGAGTAAAAAAAAATAAAAATCAAGCAATAAATGGTTTGACTCTTTATAACATCAAATAAGATGTTTTGCCTTCGAGACATTGTCCTTGATCTCCTGCACGTACGGTACATTGAGCTGATCTGCCTTTAGCTAGTACAGGCCTTTTTTGAACAGACGACAGAAGAAAACAGTTTGAGTTTTGAGTTCGGAGAAACGCAATTAAACAATAATGGTCCTTTAGCGCTGGGGAAAAGCAAGACAGACAGAGGAGAAAAAGACAGACAGGCAGAAACAAAAGAGAGCATCTGCATCTCAGCTTTAGCTTATCGACTGCTAGATATACATCATCATACACTGAGGCTTGATATTACTGCAGAGAAGGGCAGAGGTAACCATGTTCTGAACTTCTTACTCTGCGAATGTCGTAAACTGACACAAGTTTGTAGCCAGAATGGACAATACAGTTGAAATAGTCCAAGATGACCACCCATTGTCAAGGAGAAAAGCAGTTGTCTTAGACAGGTAGAAGCCTTACACAGAGTCATTATAATGTTAAAAAAAACCCCCAAAACCCCCAACAAAAACACCAAGAGAGGAAATAGGAAGTGGCCCTTAGTTCAGGTGATTGTCTTATACAGGTGGCCATTTGTACAGGTGATTGTCTTGTACAGGTAATTGTCTTATACAGGCGGCCGTTTGTACAGGTGATTGTCTTCTACAGGTGGCTGTTTGTACAGGTGATTGTCTTCTACAGGTGGCTGTTTTTACAGGTGATTGTCTTATACAGGTGGCCTTTAAGGCAGGTTTGACTGCACAGCTTACAAAAACAACAAAAACTGTGACAAAAAAACCTACAGTGCAGCCTCTCTATAACGACATCGTCGGGACCAGCAAAATGATATTTAAGGAAAAAATTGGGACCTGGGCACCATGTCGTTATACAGAGGATGTCGTTATATCGAAGGTCGCTACAGAGAGGCTGCACTGTAAATAATGTGGTGACGCGGTGAAATCAGGCGCTCGTCAATTTTTGGGCATGTGGAGTTATTGGTATCACCTTAAAGCTTGTCCATTTGTCTTGCTTTCAATTTTAAAAATATCCATTTATCTAGAATATAAGTCGAGCTGCTGGCAATTGAAGGAGGTGGGGTCACCTGGTTTCAGAGGTAAAATTTCCAAGAAAATGACTGTCAATGTTTAGTTATTTCCTTGGCTTGAGAGTCCGTGGAAACTGAAAATTTACTTTTTTGTGCCTTAAATCAATGTTCAATAAAATCAATATAGATGTGCTCTCTAATGGATATAGGTTTTCAGCCAAAAAATAAAAATTCGATAAAATTTCCCAAACTTGCGGAAAAATGCCAGTTTCTTCATTTTGATTATTTTGACCAGCCCCTGATTTCACCACCACGCTGTCTCACACTTGGTCACTCACATCCAGCCACGCCCTGACTCCATTTATGTTCCAAGAAGCGATCTTGAAATTAGACTCCTTGCCGCTGGGAGATTTGGCCGTACACTTGAAGTCTGTCCCTGAGAGCGAGTCCGAGATAGACACACGTGCCTTCAGTTTGGGTTTTGGCTCGGCGTCTGCCCCGGAATCGTCCTTGATTGCGTCGCTTTTTCTCTTCCTTCCTTTGGCTGGGGTTGGTTTCTGAAGGGCAGTAATAACATGTGAGTATTACTTCAGGGATGCCACTCAACTTTTTTGAAAATAGCTGAAAAGCCTGAGTGCTTGGTGTTGTAGGCTCCAGGAATAAAGGAAAAATATTTCTGTCTGTTTGTTTATTTTGTATGAATGAAGAGACGCTTGCCGGCAAGGTAAAAGTCATTTAGTGCATGACAAAAACAAGACAGACAGATGGAAGGAAAGAAAAATAGCAAAATCTACAAGTGACACCCTCCAACTTACAATGGTAGCTTTCTAATGAATAGTATCAGTATTAGTAAGCGTTTCACGGCACTTGCAACACTATTAGGTCATATAAGTGCCGAAGATTAGAGGTGTTACAAGAGAGTAACAAACACAAAAAAGAAGGAGGGGAGATAAAAACGATACTTGTTTGATAGGAAAGAAGAAGCAAACCACACCAGAGCACCCGCCAACCACCCATGCTTACTTATGAGAATTTTATAAGAATAAAACAGCAGTAACTGCATCTTTGTCTCCTTGTTCAGTTAGGAGCAGAAAAGCAGCATGAGGGACAAGAGTTATAGAAATATGAAAAAGTTTGAAGAAGCAGCGTTCCTCTTTCCTGCTCTTTTTTATCTCACCAGGGAAGGAGAAACTACAGCCGACAGTCAGGGTAAGACCAAGCATTAGAAAGACTTAAAATATGCACATGTAGGCATTGAGGTAAAAATAGAATATAAAATAAGAGAAACAAAGAAGAGGTTGAATGAGTGCATAAATATTGTGGCAAAAATAAATTATCGTCAGCTGATGTCATGATTAAATGAGTAATCGACTACACATCCTAGTGAGGATGTGTAGATTTATCGTTCTTGCCTTGTACACATCATAACACTTTCCACCCACGCAGTGCACAGAGTGCGCAACTCTTATCCCCCACGGACCATGATACAGGTGCGGTACACGCTATATCACACTGTCGTCGATCGGCGTCCCGTGGAGAAAAGGGGCGGCTTCTTACCGTTGCCGATCGGCATCCTGTGGGGGCATAGTGTTACACAGGTCGTTGTGATTGAGTGGTCTACCTTGTATCATGTTGTATTACGTACGTGACGGTCTTGATGATTCCTGCCTGCTAGTAGCACTTGGGAGAATAGGCATATATTGTTTATAACATATTTTTTGCTTCAATAAATTAGTCTTTGGAAACTCATTTTGACGTCAGCATGACTTAGATTTATGTATAAAGCTAAAAGCTGTGCCTCCCTAGAATATAACAGACGATACAGTGGAATCAGGCATTCCTCAGTTTTCGGGCATGTGGAGTAAAGGGAACCATCTTATACATAGTTCATTTTAATCCATCTCTTGATGGGAAAAAAGACCCACTAAAACATTTGCAGCCATACATTCATCTATTCTACTTCAGCTTAACTTAGTCCCGCTGCTCACAAGTAAATGGAATTTCCTCTCCAGAGACTCTCATAAAATGAGACAGGCGCCGAGGAAGGAAAGGAAAAATGATGAGACAGTAATGAGACAGTAACAGGTACTAATTAACACTTTATTACCACAGAAGAAGTGTTCATTTTCATGCTTTTACCTTTTCTGTAGTTGTGTCTTTTTCATCAGCCTCTTTTTTCTGAGTGTCCTGTTGAGATTAAAGAAGAACGTAATCATATCCCCCACTGAATAGCCTCAACTGTTCCCACATTTCATCTATGATTTATTTTGGTTACCTATCCAGTGTCCATGATCCTTTTCATGGCATCAGCACACAAAAAAAGCCAATATAAGCAGAACATGAAACAAAATACTCTACTCAAGGAACGCTGTTGAAAATTGAAGCCTGAACAATGGACGATGGTAAAGTACTGTAGCCTATTCTTACGCAACGACAGAAATTGTCATTTATTTTACAATAACATTATGATTATGAACCTCCGTGGAATATTAACTATTTCTCCACAGTCAGAGACTAACAAAGGTGCAGGCAATCTTAATGGAGTAATACAGAAGACAATGAAAGTACTACTACCACAAACCTGCAAACCCTCAAGGAACAAAAATAGGAATTTTTCTCAGAATCCTCCCTAAAAATTGGAGTTTGGGGGAATTTTTAATTTAAAAAATCATATTTTTCAGAAACTCAGAAGACATTAAAAGCTGATTGTTACAAATAAACGTGTATCGCATATACATGCACATAAAACTAATTTGTATAATTTCTATGTTATTCACGTCAAGTCGCACAAATATTGCAAAAATATACCTTCTGTCATGTAAATTTTCACATTATTTACGATAATACCCAGAGCCCAATATGGAATTGGAAGAACCGATCACCCGACTCGCTGCCTAAGAAAAAACACTTTTGTTTTTGAGGCTGCAAGTCGGGCGATCGGTTTGTGCCACCATGGTCGCTTTGCGCCCTCAATCTGGCTAGCCCCGCCTACCAAGCTCCAAACTGAACCGAATCGATCGCACCAATGGGCTCTGGGTTTCTCATGGAAACAGAATTCAAGACAAAAATATGATTTAATTAATACAAATCTGATCAGGGTTCTTCCACAAAGGCAAAAGAATAGAACGGAGGAGTCCAATTTCTATCTGTGTACTTGGCAGAGGTCTGCCACTCTCATCACTTCAAAGTTAAAATAAAAGCCTCAATCTGACACAACACAAGTTAACAAAGACTTTAAAATAATTACCTCTGTCGCAGAGCTTGCTGCCGCCTCATTGGTCTCCTCTTTGCTCTTTTTCGCAGCACGTTTTCGCTGAGAAAGAAGAGAAAAAGAGTAATTATTGAAATTTGTTCTGTAATAGTAGTGGAGGGTTTTACGGCCCTCGCAACTGTATAAGGTCATATTCATGCCATGAGCGCCAAGGGGTGGGTGTCAACAGAGAAGTCTTTACAGGGAATCAGACTTAGACTGCTCACCTCTCTAGCTTCAACAGCAGAAGGTCTGCTTCGACTATCAAGGCACCCCGAAAACAGCAGGTCACAAGAGAGTGACAAACATACAAAAGAAGTAGAGGAAAATGACAATAGTAAGGATCAGGAAAGTAAAAGCAGCAGTTCCCTGTTGTAGATCAGGCACAGTTATGAGCGTGACATGAGTCAGCCCATTTACAATTCTACTATGCTTGCACGAGAAATGTCCCCCTTTGGGATTGGCCTAAAGACACTTCAGTCAGCGGCAGTGCCCCGGGGGATAAATTTGTTCTGTGTTAAATAAAATCTAAACAAAAGCGATTGATTGTTCATCTTTTTGCCGGACAGCATTAGAAGTAGAAGCCTAGATATATGCACAAGCACAGTAACAGAGAGTTGAAAGTTCTCTCCCTCTCTCTTCCTTCCGGCACCGTGGCGTCATTTAAGAGGTCAGCCATGCCGACAGCACGCAGGAACTCAATACTCGCTCGGGGGTCCTTGAAAAATACTGAACGTGGGTCACTGAAATATCCCAGCAGTTGTGTTTTGGCACCATAGTAGAGTTGAAAGTAGCAAGCATAAGATAAGTATTATAAGACTTTATTTGATCCAAGAGGGAAATTTTTTCTAGGCATGATGTCAAGTAAAAACTTGGGAGAAGGCTGTTTTTGTCTCCTTCATGCTGTGAGCTATCCCACAACATAGGGGGTAAAAAAAGGACAATAAAAGTAAAAGTGATTGTTGCTGTCATGTTGTTGTTTTCAGATCCCTTTAGCTGCGAGCATTCGCTCTTGGCAGCGCAATGCCTCCCTCAAGAGTCATAGTGTTGCTGTCATAAATGAGTGTAACTTCAACGTTCTTTACAGTACTTTACACACCCTGTGATGCAGAATTAAACAGACGTACCGACTCATTACACATTGCCAAGCAATGACGCTATTCCTTAGGAGTGACAGCAAAACGTAATCACTGTCAATCAGTGCAGAATCAGAATTTGCAAAACTGCCGATCAAAAAGCTCCAGACAAGTGACCTCAAGAAATTTTGGTGAATATGCGTATTGAGTATTGATACAAAAAGTTCTCATCCTAAAAAACACGCTATTTGTTGGAAAAGAGTGTTTGTTCGTTTTTTAAATTGTAAACTGCTGATTTTAAAGTTAGTTACCTAAGAAAATACTAACTACAGCTCTAAAAACTTACCGCCATCGTAGAAATGAACCGTTGTTCTTTCTTCTGGAAAAAAAAGATCATAATATTTAAAAAATGGAAACCCATTATTCTAATAATAGTAATTTATTTAATATCAGATCAATTTTAATTAAACCAAACATTATCACAACAATCAAATGAGAAAATATTGACAAAGATGAGCTTAATTATCGTGAGCAGGAACTAATTGTTACCTCTGGGCCATTTTGAGTTTTTTTGCTTTTCTGAAATCTGGGAACTTCCTGATATTATTTCATCACAAAATGCAAAAAAAAATATTTTTTTTAAAGCATTGAGAGAAGAGCATTGAAGCAAATTTTCTGCAACATTTATGACACACAAAGGTCAAAAACAAATTGCTAGAAAATATTTTTCAATGGTTCTTACAAGAAACAGCTCTTAAATTTTAAAATTATTCTCTAACCGTATAAATATATTTTAGAAGGTTGGAGAATCCCCTGTTGCGCATAAAAATGCATATTGCAGCATATTATAACTCAAAATAGACCTGAACTGAGTAGGCCCAACTGGCCTCACCGACTATTTTTGCGGATGTCTCGGTTCGTTCAAGGTTTAACGAAATGTTCCTGATTTCCTTAGACTGCCCCAGATAATCCATGCTTCCCCCTGTATTTCCATGTGTGTGTCACGAAATCAGGCACTCGTCAATTTTGGGCAAGTTAATTGTTATTTTTGTATCATCTGAAAACAAGCGGATAGATCAGATAGAGAACGTAAGGAGTACACAATTTGCCGATAATTATCGTAACAGCAATCTTGTTTGAGTCAATTTTAGCAAAGTGTTATTAGTTATGTGATAATGCTCATTATATTATATATATATACTATGTTAAAGAATCTATAATAGGTCAAACAAGATATGGCTGTTACTATTATAAATATCGCCCAATGGTGCACTCCTAGCGTTCTCTAACTATCCGCTTGTCCTCTGAAACCTTAAATTCATTTGCCTTGCTTTCAATGAAAAGAATACTCTGAGATCAGATATAACGTTATCT